TATTCTGTATAGTGTTTTATGGTATTCTGTATAGTGTTTTAGGTATTTATTCTGTATAGTGTTTTGGGTGTTAGTGTTTTATGGTATTCTGTATAGTGTTTCATGGTATTTCATTATAGTGTTTTCATGGTATTCTGTATAGTGTTTTATGGTATTCTGTATAGTGTTTTATGGTATTCTGTATAGTGTTTTGGTATTCTAGTGTTTTATGGTATTCTGTATAGTGTTTTATGGTATTCTGTATAGTGTTTTATTGTATTCTGTATAGTGTTTTATGGTATTCTGTATAGTGTTTTATGGTATTCTGTATAGTGTTTTATGTGGTATTCTGTATAGTGTTTTATGGTATTCTGTATAGTGTTTGTATGGTATTCTGTATAGTGTTTTATGGTATTCTGTATAGTGTTTTTTATGGTATTCTGTATAGTGTTTATGGTATTCTGTATAGTGTCTTTTCATGGAATTCCATGTATAGTGTTTATGGTATTCTGTATAATAGTGTTTTAGAATGGTATTCTTTTATGGTGTTAGTGTTATGGTATTCTGTATAGTGTTTTATGGTATTCTGTATAGTGTTTTATGGTATTCTGTATAGTGTTTTATGGTATTCTGTATAGTGTTTTATGGTATTCTGTATAGTGTTTTATGGTATTCTGTATAGTGTTTTATGGTATTCTGTATAGTGTTTTATGGTATTCTGTATAGTGTTTTGTGGTATTCTGTATAGTGTTTTATGGTATTCTGTATAGTGTTTTATGGTATTCTGTATAGTGTTTTATGGTATTCTGTATAGTGTTTTATGGTATTCTGTATAGTGTTTTATGGTATTCTGTATAGTGTTTTATGGTATTCCTGTATAGTGTTTTACGGCATTCTGTATAGTGTTTTATGGTATTCCTGTATAGTGTTTTATGGTATTCTGTATAGTGTTTTGTGGTATTCTGTATAGTGTTTTATGGTATTCTGTATAGTGTTTTATGGTATTCCGTATAGTGTTTACGGTATGGTATTCTGTATAGTGTTTTATGGTATTCCGTATAGTGTTTTATGGTATTCTGTATAGTGTTTTATGGTATTCTGTATAGTGTTTTATGGTATTCTGTATAGTGTTTTATGGTATTCCGTATAGTGTTTTATGGTATTCTGTATAGTGTTTTATGGTATTCTGTATAGTGTTTTATGGTAATCTGTATAGTGTTTTATGGTATTCTGTATAGTGTTTTATGGTATTCTGTATAGTGTTTTGTGGTAATCTGTATAGTGTTTTGTGTTATTCTGTATAGTGTTTTATGGTATTCTGTATAGTGTTTTATGGTATTGTGTTTTATGGTAATCTGTTTAGTGTTTTGTGTTATTCTGTATAGTGTTTTGTGTTATTCTGTGTAGTGTTTTATGGTATTCTGTAAAGTTTTTTTGGTGTTCTGTACAGTGTTTTATGGTATTCTGTGTAGTTTTAGACAAGGGACTCAACTCTGCCCAGTGTTAACTGTGCCTCAGATTACTGCATCATTTGGTGTTTGAGACTAAAATGAACACAACCTTCTAAATGAAGACGTTAAATATGACGAAGTCTTAACGACTGCATATACACCTAGGTATACCCCAGATGGTAATCCCTGACGGGAACAGATCGCGCAAATTAAGTGAATATGGGTGATTCACTGAATTGTCGTCATTGTTAGGCAGATGTATGGCGTCCACCTGGCAAATAAACCAATGGTTAATAACATGAACTCGGCATAAAGGCGAATACTTCCGGCCACATTTCACGTCACCTCATCTGGCAGCTTCATGCTGTTACGTCAATGCACACTTCCTTACGTCTGATGATAATGACGGTAACGGTGGTGATGATGATGATGATGATGTGTCTGTAGTAGTAGTAGTAGTAGTAGTAGTAGTAGTAGTAGTAGTAGTAGTTGCAGCAGTGGTAGGCATGACGAAGCTGTTGTTACATATTTATGAAACCCTGTGTCGATGGAACCGGACACTATGCTATAACGCTGCGGGCTGGTGCTCTCTTCACCTGGTGTCCAAATCTCCGGTATACAGTGAAATATAGTCAGCCAACTGAAAAACTTGAAAGTTGTTCATATGAATCTCCAAATGGACGTTGTGTGTGCATTATATATTATAAATAGAATTGCATCACAGGCGGCAACATGTCTCCCCGTAGAGAGGAGAGCCTTTAGGAACGCTCTTACCGAAAGTCGTCGCCATTGGTCAGCAAGTCCCAAGTACTTGAAAGATCTAGGATGGATTTATCTTCTGTGGCACTCGTCTTCCCAGCTCATCCCTCACGTGATCGATCAGGCTCAAGTCTTGGAGTGGGGTGCGTCCATGACATCAACACATGCTACGTAAGAAGTTGTTGAAATGTCACTTCAGCACGTTGAAGTGCATCAGAATTCGTCCTGTGTATGGTTGTCTAGCTGGAACATCTGTGGTGTGCAGTTGATTCCTGAAAGATGAGCTAACACTCTGAACATCTGTCTGCTTGTAGAGACTCTGTTGGGGAGATCAGGTGACCTGATTTAAACGTCATCTCTGTGTGACGTCACACGCAGCATCCCCTAGTAACAGTCTATAGCACTCATGTCCATGTAAGACGACAACAGTGCAGGGGTCATGTAGCAGCTTCTCCCGAATTGTCCAACATTAAGCCCTCTCATGGCACGTTAACCGAGCTGATTTGTGAGTCGCGTGATTTGTAATTAAACTTGCATTTATGCGTTATCCTGCTCAGCAATGTCTGTATTTACTTTCCAAAACACGTGATATTTTGTGCTTCATGCTGTTGAACGCTTTATGACCAAATGTTCCACCATATTTTGATGACATTCAAACAGCCAACGTGTCATAGCCGTGTGTACGTCACAACGTTAAACAGTAGAGAACTACCCCTTCACTGTTACTCCAATACCGTGGGTGTCAACTGTCCAATGTTGATATGTTTTTGATCCAGTTAATGATTCAGCAGGTATCGAGGACGAATCACCATCTAGACATCACCCACTGCCGCCTGCTGTAATGTGTGTATAGTCACACGGAAACCTTTCCACTACAGCTTCACCAAGCTAAACGGAAACACGATCAAATCGCATTTACTTGAGATTGTGCTTCAAATTTGAGAACCGCTGAAGATGAGTTGAATTTGCATTGTAAATGCAACACCAGCTTGTCAACTGGCCTGAGAATTCAGCTTGTCGGTATTGATTATCGTCAAGTTACGGGAACAGAGGCTCAGGTGGTGTTTGTTCATATAGCGAATTTATAAAACACAATCAACGTGAAATGTATTGATGTTCCTTATGTTGAATATAAAATATAACACTCTCAATACAGACCTCGATAATCTGGACTCAAGACTTTCTGCAATCTGGTGGAGATGAAATGAAGTGGGGATGAACGGGGCTTTCACGATTATTTCACTACGACATGCATGTGTGTGTGTGTTGCGCGCGCGTGCGTGCGCGTGTGTAAGTGTGTGTGCGCGTGTGCTTGTACTGGCTCGGGCCTGTATAATGCTAGTCCACTGAGCTGCCACAGGTCACCATGGACACCAGACACATCATAATGAATCAGTGCCGATCATACCTTGTTTCGTCACCTAAGCCTCGTTTCAGCTGAGTAACAAGTGCCATCTTTTAACGTATTTGGTATGATGCGGCCGAGGTGGTCCTTGCAATCAGATTATCTTCATACGTTCATAGAACGACATTGTTCTCTCCCAATTGATAAATATTTGTGTTTAATCAGGGTTAGTTCATTCAAACTCAGCAAAATTTCATGTATGTGTGTATATGTGACAGCGGTCTGTAAATATTCAAGTCTGGACCAGACAATCCAGTGACTGTCTTCATGATCACCGATCTACCCACTTGCGATATGCATTAACCAAGTCAGCGAGCCTGATCACCCGATCCCGTTAGCCGTCTCTTACTATCAATTCTATCATGGATCTTCAGAGCTCATTAGAATCCTGAAGTACATAATGAACAAGTGATGCTACCTTCTTGAAAATGTTACAGATTGGTTGTCGCATTCAGTTAATATGCAACTGACAATTCACGACCCCACATTCCAAACATGGAGAATACGAGCGGGTTGTTTTCCACTGAATAACACAAATCAGCAGTGTGGTGGGCTTCAGTGTCAGTGCATCTGCAGAAAACAACAATATTGAAAACTAACTGTTAAATTCGCACATAGTAAGTGGCCCTGAAATCAATGTTGTTTGAATTATGTCTGAACGATTCACTTTATCGGCCGTAGGCTCTGAATTAACACAGGTCGGAACACATCGTTATTGATTAATAATCACCCTGCGACTCTAGACTCGGTCACAAATCGATTTGAGGTCCCTCAAAGACCCGGGGAATAGTCTCAGCTAAATATGTTTACTTAAACAGTCCATATTTCTCTTTAGTCTACACTACTCTACTCTACTGTGTATCAAGTGCTTGTCGGCATCTGCTGACTGAGGCGCTTGAACTGTGGTTGGAGGGAAGGTGGGAAGTATATAAAAGTGAGCATTAAATATATATTTGAGACTTTTTATTTCCATATTTTATGATTCTTTGTCATATCCACCATTGAAACCAGCCAGGAGCATGTAACAAGGAAGATCCGTAGTTATTGTTTAGCCATTCCTTCCTTAACGTGACCCAACACGTTGTCTCTACTCTCCAACCTGTATCTGATACATGTAGTTTCCTCTCTTGCATGTTCCCCACCCCCACCATCTGCCTGTCCTCCTGTCACATGTCCCTCCTCCCGGTGTATGTCCCATGTATTCATTCCTCTCATGTCAACCGGCCTCCTCGCCCCTACCCCCACACCCCATCTCTCTATTCATACGCCCCCATTCATACAATATACTCGGGGACCTTGTGTACGTGTTGTCTACGCCTGCATTCGTTCTGCGATCAGCCGATTGGTCAATGCTGATCATATTCCAATTTCCTGGACACGGGAATAAGGTGACCCCGACAGTTGAAGGTCATGATGTTTCCTTCAGTCAACAACCGACGGACTTGCTCAGACAGTTACTGAATGCTGATACATGCACAACTGCAGGCGTTGGATATCGCCCAAGTTGGTGGGAACTGCCTCCACTTTATCTTCGCTGCATCTAAGCACTGTGACTCATTCTGCTAGATCTCACTTGTGTTTGTTGGCATACACAGAAAGGCTTACCTATGACTGTGTGGTCAGTCGACCTGTGAGTATGTACAATAGTATGCTTGTGCTTTGGGATAATAGTCTCATGTTCATTGACAAAATCTGGTCAGTGCAGTTCGTTTGCAGGAGACATGCTAATAACATGTCTGTCTATTTCATTTACTCCTGATCAACATCTGTGGCCAACTCTAACACTTATCTAAAATCTGCTGACTTGCCACTTCATATAAACCAATTATTTGTACATAATTTGACCGGAAGTGTATCTAACACATGACATTGAACTCTCCTCTATTTCCAACTCGTTTTATTGCTTTATTATCTCTAATATATGTACCCAATATTCAATATTAATGCATTGTATTTGATGCTGTTCATCTGTAACATATGTAACTCACACACTCAACTACGTTAATTACGGTGGCTGATGAAAATAGTCCAACATGTGGGCGGAGATAAAGCATTCTTGCTGAACAATACTTCAGCGATGACTGCTTCCGCCCTGACATAACTCGTGACACAGCTGACTACTTGAGTGCGCCCTGACATAACTGTAATATTGATGACCACTGCATTCACCCTGATATAACTGTAATATTGATGACCACTGCCTTACGCCCTGACATAACTGTAATATTGATGACCACTGCCTTACGCCCTGACAAAACTGTAATATTGATGACCACTGCCTTACGCCCTGACATAACTGTAATATTGATGACCACTGCCTTACGCCCTGATATAACTGTAATATTGATGACCACTGCATTCACCCTGACATAACTGTAATGTTGATGACCACTGCCTTACGCCCTGACATAACTGTAATATTGATGACCACTGCATTCACCCTGACATAACTGTAATATTGATGACCACTGCCTTACGCCCTGACATAACTGTAATATTGATGACCACTGCCTTACGCCCTGACATAACTGTTAATATTGATGACCACTGCATTCACCCTGACATAACTGTAATATTGATGACCACTGCCTTACGCCCTGACATAACTGTAATATTGATGACCACTGCATTCACCCTGACATAACTGTAATATTGAAGACCACTGTCTTACGCCCTGACATAACTGTTATATTGATGACCACTGCCTTACACCCTGACATAACTGTAATATTGATGACCACTGCCTTACGCCCTGATATAACTGTAATATTGATGACCACTGCCTTACGCCCTGACATAACTGTAATATTGATGACCACTGCATTCACCCTGATATAACTGTAATATTGATGACCACTGCCTTATGCCCTGATATAACTGTAATATTGATGACCACTGCATTCACCCTGATATAACTATAATATTGATGACCACTGCCTTACGCCCTGATATTACTGTAATATTGATGACCACTGCATTCACCCTGACATAACTGTAATATTGATGACCACTGCCTTACGCCCTGACATAACTGTAATATTGATGACCACTGCATTCACCCTGACATAACTGTAATATTGATGACCACTGTCTTACGCCCTGACATAACTGTTATATTGCTGACCACTGCATTCACCCTGACATAACTGTAATATTGATGACCACTGTCTTACGCCCTGACATAACTGTAATATTGATGACCACTGCATTCACCCTGACATAACTGTAATATTGATGACCACTGTCTTACGCCCTGACATAACTGTTATATTGATGACCACTGCCTTACACCCTGACATAACTGTAATATTGATGACCACTGCCTTACGCCCTGATATAACTGTAATATTGATGACCACTGCCTTACCCTGACATAACTGTAATATTGATGACCACTGCATTCACCCTGATATAACTGTAATATTGCTGACCACTGCCTTATGCCCTGATATAACTGTAATATTGATGACCACTGCATTCACCCTGATATAACTGTAATATTGATGACCACTGCCTTACGCCCTGATATTACTGTAATATTGATGACCACTGCATTCACACTGACATAACTGTAATATTGATGACCACTGCCTTACGCCCTGACATAACTGTAATATTGATGACCACTGCATTCACCCTGACATAACTGTAATATTGATGACCACTGCCTTATGCCCTGATATAACTGTAATATTGATGACCACTGCATTCACCCTGATATAACTGTAATATTGATGACCACTGCCTTACGCCCTGATATTACTGTAATATTGATGACCACTGCATTCACCCTGACATAACTGTAATATTGATGACCACTGCCTTACGCCCTGACATAACTGTAATATTGATGACCACTGCATTCACCCTGACATAACTGTAATATTGATGACCACTGTCTTACGCCCTGACATAACTGTTATATTGATGACCACTGCATTCACCCTGACATAACTGTAATATTGATGACCACTGCCTTACGCCCTGACATAACTGTAATATTGATGACCACTGCATTCACCCTGACATAACTGTAATATTGATGACCACTGTCTTACGCCCTGACATAACTGTTATATTGATGACCACTGCCTTACACCCTGACATAACTGTAATATTGATGACCACTGCCTTACGCCCTGATATAACTGTAATATTGATGACCACTGCCTTACGCCCTGACATAACTGTAATATTGATGACCACTGCCTTACGCCCTGACATAACTGTAATATTGCTGACCACTGCCTTATGCCCTGATATAACTGTAATATTGATGACCACTGCATTCACCCTGATATAACTGTAATATTGATGACCACTGCCTTACGCCCTGATATTACTGTAATATTGATGACCACTGCATTCACACTGATATAACTGTAATATTGATGACCACTCCCTTACGCCCTGATATAACTGTAATACTGATGAGTAGACGTCCTTCACACACCACAACCAGCAGGGTAATCACACTAGGCGTACCCAGGGTGTCTACAGTTTAGTAGACCTCCTTCACACACAACCAGCAGGGTATTCATACTAGGCGTTTCCAGGGTGTCTACAGTCTAGTAGACCTCCTTCACACACCACAACCAGCAGGGTAATCACACTAGGCGTATCCAGGGTGTCTGCAGTCTAGTAGACCTCATTCACACACCACAACCAGCAGGGTAATCACACTAGGCGTATCTAGAGTGTCTACAGTCTAGTAGACCTCCTTTACACACAACCAGCAGGGTAATCACACTAGGCGTATCCAGGGTGTCTACAGTCTAGTAGACCTCCTTTACACACAACCAGCAGGGTAATCACACTAGGCGTATCCAGGGTGTCTACAGTCTAGTAGACCTCCTTCACACACCACAACCAGCAGGGTAATCACACTAGGCGTATCCAGGGTGTCTGCAGTCTAGTAGACCTCATTCACACACCACAACCAGCAGGGTAATCACACTAGGCGTATCCATGGTGTCTACAGTCTAGTAGACCTCCTTCACACACCACAACCAGCAGGGTAATCACACTAGGCGTATCCAGGGTGTCTACAGTCTAGTAGACCTCCTTCACACACCACAACCAGCAGGGTAATCACACTAGGCGTACCCAGGGTGTCTACAGTTTAGTAGACCTCCTTCACACACAACCAGCAGGGTATTCACACTAGGCGTATCCAGGGTGTCTACAGTCTAGTAGGCCTCCTTTACACACAACCAGCAGGGTAATCACACTAGGCGTATCCAGGGTGTCTACAGTCTAGTAGACCTCCTTTACACACAACCAGCAGGGTATTCACACTAGGCGTATCCAGGGTGTCTACAGTCTAGTAGACCTCATTCACACACCACAACCAGCAGGGTAATCACACTAGGCGTGTCGAGGGTGTCTACAGTCTAGTAGACCTCCTTCACACACCACAACCAGCAGGGTAATCACACTCGGGGTATCTAGAGTGTCTACAGTCTAGTAGACCTCCTTCACACATCACAACCAGCAGGGTAATCAGACTAGGCATATCCAGGGTGTCTACAGTCTAGTAGACCTCCTTCACACACCACAACCAGCAGGGTATTCACACTAGGCGTATCCAGGGTGTCTACAGTCTAGTAGACCTCCTTCACACACCACAGCCAGCAGGGTAATCACACTAGGCGTATCTAGAGTGTCTACAGTCTAGTAGACCTCCTTCACACATCATAACCAGCAGGGTAATCAGACTAGACGTATCCAGGGTGTCTACAGTCTAGTAGACCTCATTCACACACCACAACCAGGAGGGTATTCACACTAGGCGTATCCAGGGTGTCTACAGTCTAGTAGACCTCCTTCACACACCACAGCCAGCAGGGTAATCTTACTAGGCGTATCTAGAGTGTCTACAGTCTAGTAGACCTCATTCACACACCACATCCAGCAGTGTAATCACACTAGGCGTATACAGGGTGTCTACAGTCTAGTAGACCTCCTTCACACACCACATCCAGCAGTGTAATCACACTAGGCGTATCCAGGGTGTCTACTGTAGTCTAAGTAGACAGTAGACTGAACTTCCTCCCACCACTACAAATCTATGCAAACTTGATCTCATCTTTCTCGTTTCCTGAATCCTGTCTCTGATGTGTGATGTCGTTTATTTCAAACGTTGACGTACGCTCTGCGTGTTGTGCAGTTATATGTGTATGGCTTATTTTTAACGCTGTATTTAGATTAGGAGATTAAGCTATCTAATGTGAAAAAAGCAATGCATACATATATGAGATTGTATTTTCTTCTGCGACTCTTTGTTATATCACATCATGTCATATATAACGTGGAAAGAAGCCTCATACAGCGAGGCACATTCACGCTTTGAGAAAATTAAACTACCAGCACGAATAGTGTATTGATAAACCTGGAGCGTCACTAGGACTCAACGTTAATGAGTGTGTACGGAGAGTGTGTGTGCGGGGTGGGGCTCTGAGGGCTTGTAGGTGTGTGGGTGGGTGGTGGTCGGTAGTGGGGTGTCTGAGGGAGGGGGGGACTTGTAGGGGTATGTGCGGGTGCATGTGTGGGTGGTGGTGGTGGACGGGTGGGTTCTGAGGGGAGGTAGTGCTTGTCAGGGTATGTATGTGTGTGCGAGTGTATGTGTGG